TATTCAAAGAATCAAGGGAACTTATGTTTAAATAACTGAAGTAAAATATACTGAGTTAGACAATAGGGAGTCTCAATAAAGAAATAGAAACAAGCAGGCAAGCAAGCAAAAGAACTAAAAAAGAATTCTAAAATTATAAAGTACAATAATGCAAATGAAAAATTCACCAGCTGGACTCAATAGCAGATTTGAGATGACAGAAGACAGAATCAGTGAACTAAATAATAGCTTGATATAGAAACCATTAAATCTGAAGAAAAAGAAAAAGATTGACAAAATGAATAGTTTCAGAGACCTTTGGGTCAATGTCACATATTCCAACATATATGTAATGATAGTCTCAGAAGGGGAGGTGAGAAAGAAAGGGGCAGAAAAATCATTTGAAGAAAAGATAGCTGAAAACTTTCCAAAATTAATGAAAAACATGAATATACAAATCCAGGAAGTTCAATGAACTACTAAGTAATAACATAAAGATGTCTAACACTCTTAGACATATCATAGTCAAACTGCTGAAAACCAAAACAAAGAGAACATCTTGAAAGTGAAAAACAATTTATTACATACAGTGGAAATAATATGATCATGAACTTGTCATCAGAAAAAACGGAGGCTGGAACTTCCCCGGTGGTCCAGTAATACAGAATCTGCCTTACAATGCAGGGGACATGGGTTCGATCCCCGGCTGGGGAACTAAGATCCCACATGCCACAGGGCAACTAAGTCTGCATGCCACAACTACTGAGCTCATGTGCCTCAACTTGAGAGCCTGTGTGCTGCATACTACAGAGCCCACGCACTCTGGAACCTGCGCACCACAACTACAGAGCCCAGGCACCCTGCAGCCTGCATGCCACAACTAGAGAAGAGAAAACCTGCACACCACAACTAGAGAGAAGCCCACACACTGCAGCAAAGAGCCCACTTGCCTCAACGAAGATCCCGCATGCCGCAGCTAAGACGACGCAACCAAAAAAAAAAAAAAAAATACTCTTAAAAAAAAAAGAAATAATGTAATGGAGGCCAAAAATCAGTGAAATAACATATTCATAATGCTGAGATAAAAGCAAGTCAACCAAGAATTCTGTATCCAGTGAAAGTATCATTAAAAAATGAAATGTGAAGTAAAGACATCCCCAAGTCCTTTACCGTAGCATGGTAAAAGGAAAATTTATTTTGAGGCTAAAACTTGAGTTCAGTCTTCATTTGCATTGTGCATACATCTTGGGAGACAACTCAGTGATCAAATGCTCCATTTCTTGCTGGGCCTGGGGGGTTTAATTGTTGATGTTTGGTAATTAGAGTTTTGGAAGATAAGAGCATGCATGCAGTTTAATATGTCCAAGGTTAGAGAGTATATGAAATTTCACATGTCAAAATGGCAGGGAACAGGGGTGGGAAAAATACTGAAATTTTTGAAATGAGCTGGTGTTTGGGGCTCCAGGTCAGTTAGGCTTGGATTTTAAGTGGTTAATATAAGGGTTCTGGGCATGGGGAATTGGACATGGGGAATTGTGCATTGGCTTCAACTCAACTTAACATGGTTAAATAAAACCACAAAGTATGGGAAAAGGTTTTTCCAAAATACAAACAGGGTGACCTGCCTTCCTTTGAAGTTGGTTGCCACAAGTGATTTTTTTTTTTTACTGCCTGATTCACTGTCTTCATGTGATTCCCAGCAACTTAACTACTTTGGATTTTGTCGTTGTTGTTTGTTGTTTGTTTGGGGCTTAAAATACTAGGAGTTTTCCTTTCAAATATCCTGTTGGTATCTTTCTGTAGGAAAGGGAGATATCACTGAGGGTTTCATGTAGTCCCACAACTAATAGAAATAATAATGCTAATAATGATGATAATGTCAAGGAAAGCAAATACTAGTGCATATATCAGGTATGTTGATCTAAACAAATAGACTGCCAGATATATCTCCAGCTAAGATGAATTTATCTGAGATCAGCAGAGAATTGCAGTTTGGTGTCTGCAACCATGGTGAGCCATGTGCAACTCCCTGCAGGGCAAGGGAAGGAGAACACTTTTACAGAAAGGAAAAGGGAAGTTAGGAGGGCTATAGAAAACAGAGTCCATGGCATTTCATTGGCTGAGTCCTTGGCAGGAAAGAAGAGGGTCTTTCTTCTTCCTGTTGGGCTCTGCTATTGTCCCATGGTTTGAGAGCTCTCCCTCCTGATCTTCTGACTATATTTAATTGAGGTTTTTGTTTATTAATTTTTTTATAGATACCATTCTAATAATTTCACATACATCAATTATTTTAATTCTATGATTGTTTATGTCATTTTTAGGTAGGGCCCTGGTTTTCCAGATAAAGCGGTCAAGACACCTTAGACTTAACTTTAATTTGCATTGAGACATAGCTTTTATTTCATCATTTTATGGCATTTTCCCTCAGTCTCTAATTGCTCTTTCAGTTTGTCCTCCCACTGTTGCCTTTGGGAACATAACTGCTAGCTCTATCAGTGCCATCACTAGAATAGAATTTTTTTTAAATTTCAGCTTCTTTAAACTAAAAAATAAATCAAATAAATCTAAAATGGAATTTTTAATGTTCTGTGTCTTTTTGAATAACTGGCTGCCAGTTGAAAGGCTGGCATTTGAGCCTGTGACCTAGATTCATTCCTAGGTTTTTAAAATTAGACGAGGAAGATGAGACTCAAGTAATTTTGGTTATGCTGGGACTCAGATTCTGCTGCAAAGCATGTGGAATTTCCCAAACACAGGAACAGGATTCAAGTACTGGGTTAAAAAAAAGGTATGAGAAATGTCTATTATATCCACTCATCATGTGCCTTCCCTGTTTTCTGTGATGTACAAAGGATCACCAACAGAAATTTGATGATCTTATCTATACATACTATTTTTCCCTGAAATGGTGTGTAAAGTACTATATATAGGTATTGTTTAAGTTACTGCTTTTAAACGGGGTTTCAGATTTGTCTTACTAATCCTAGGAATTAATTCATGCCTAGAAAATTTATTTGACATATTAATCTCTTGGTCAGATAAAATGAGAGTTGAAGATGAGTAAGAAGAGTCTAGAAACATCAGTAAAGGACACAGGTAGGGAATAAGTTTTCAGAGAAGCATATAAATGCTATAAAAAGATGTGGTCATGAGGGTAGTATATTTTCACTTGGTAGAGGAGCCAGTGAATCTAATGAAATTTAGGGTAGCTAGTTTGACGAAGTTTTCTAGAGGGGAACACACTACTGTTGAAGAAAACTGATCACTTGTGCAGTTGCTTACTTTTTCTTCGAGACATTAAAAAAGAAAAAAAAAAAGGTTCCTATGTGGCAGCAGCCAAACCCGTCAGTCATATCTAGGCTAGGCACTGGAAGAGGGACTAGGTGGTGACTCTAGGCAGGGTGCTAAGGGAAGCAAGAACAATAACAGCTTCTGATAAGAAAATGAAAATGCATAGTAGGGATAATCAAGATCTTTGTAAAGCTTTCCTAAATACTCTGAGTACATTGTACTCATGATTTCTTTGTGCTTTTGTGCTCTCTTCTACTTTCCTTTCACATACCACAGTAGCAGCCAAAAAGATCCAAAAGTCATCTTTGGAGCTATTGCTTCTGTTGCTTATCCTCCGCCTACCTTTACTAAATATACTCCTAATGCAGACAAGAAGCAAACAGCTGTTGACATTTCTTAGTTGACTTATAGATTGTGGCATTTGTGTTTGACACAGTACTTAAACCAGAAATATGGGGTTTCATGTAAGAATCTCCTCCGCTAGTCACGATCAGTACTTTTACCATATTTAGTGATTCTTTGGAAGTGGGAAATAATGTCATTGGCTTGTGCTTGAGGGTGATAATAGGGATATAAGGAACAAGAGAAAGTATGTTTTATAAAGTATGGCTCCTAGATGGAGCCATAATTCAATAATGTTTGAATTACTTGAAACATTAAAATTCTTCTCTGTTGGTCTAGACCCTGATTGTTCAGTCTTGTTTTTTACGTTGAAATTAGCTTTTGTAGAATAGTAAGATTAGCTAACCCTTTTGTAAAATCAGGAACTAATCTAAGTATTTTACTTGTTTTAACTCATTTAATTCTCACAGCAACCCAGTGATGTATGATATAAATTTTATAGTTTCCCCACTTACAGATGAGGACACTGGGGATCACAGAGGTTAAGCAGCTCTCTTAGGGTCCCACAGCAAGTAAGGAGCAGATATTTGGAACCAAAGAAGTCTAGTGCTAGAGTCTCTAACCTTAGCCACAATACAAGTCTCCTGCCTGCCAGAAAATCATTAAAACTTAAAAATTCTGGTCTTTATACATAATACAGATGAACAGATTTGTTATATATATAATATGTTATGTTTTAAAATAATTTGAAGAAAATGAGTTTTATAAGTTTCCATTGAGGTAATTAGCTAATGGTTTCCAGGCATTAATTGTGCAACAAATATATGATATTTTTTATTTAATTTAGTTTAGAATTATTATTGTGGTTATTAATATCCGTGTGGTTTATGTTGATTAAAAATGTTAATATAACTGTAGAGCACGTAAAGAGCCATAAGTGATGAAAGGGGAAGCCTTTTAACTTAATTGAAATCTATTAAAATGAAATAAGCAGTCTCATTTGTAGAATAAGTAAGGTGTGCTCACATAGGACAGTTAAGCAGGAATAGTTTTGCTGCTTAAGAAAACAAGTAATCACTGCTCTCATTTCTGTATAAAATTTGATTTTCATTATGAAATTTGAAAATTAGAGTTTGATCTATATTATGAAGGCTATTTTTTTTAAGAATGTGAACCTATACTTCATAATTCTGTTTATTTTATCTTAAATTTTTACAAGTGAATTTAAGGAGGGCGTAGATTTAGGGATACTCTTTTAAATTTCTATTTTTAATGGTTAATTAAAGAAAATTTTCATATTTTCTATTATCATTGCTTAGTGTGACATATGCTATATCTTTTTGGAAATTTTCTATATATTTATGCTAGTCCATTTAAATTTGTTTCAGGATGTTCCAGCACCAGGCACCTATGATGTTCAAAAGTCATATGAGATGTCTCAAGTTCAGCATAAATACATGCCACCTCATAGTTTGGTGGCCAGAATAAAACATGCCTCGTTTCTTAGCACAACTCCTCGGTGCCTGGACAAAATGAATGATGGGCCAGGTAAGTATAGACTGTCTTTTTAAAGAAACGGAAACAAAATCTAAAGTTTCCTTATTAAAATAGACAACTGTAAACATACATTTACATTTATCATGTCGCTTTTAAGTGTGCAGGACAAAAAAATAACCGCTTATTTAGTGAAAGATTTTAGATGTTTTTTCAACTGTAAGAAGACTTGTTTGGAGTTTTATGTCTTTTAATTTTACCAAAGACAATTTTACTAATTTTACTAAAGCTAATAAGTCATATCCTATTAAAGAAAAAAAAAACCAAACTCTTAATATGCTATATTTATTAGAGGAGAAATAACTACTGATGTGGAAGATCAGTTGTATACAAGATATATATCATGCCAGTCTCATGGAATTATTTTAATTTTCCTCAAGTATTAAGAAAGCAGCTATATAAAAGGTAAACATTTATTTGAGGGGTTGAAATTCCAAAAATAATTTTGATTTTTAAAATTGGGATTAGTTCATCTACTAGTAATGGCATTTTTATACTAAAATAGAATGAAATAACTTTCCCTGATAATGAAAATGAACCGGTAAGTAGATTATTTCACACAAGAGAATTAGATAAAGAATGGGAACAAGAGTTTTCAACAGCAATTTACAAATGTATTGCCATTAAGTAACCAAACTGTTGTAATGGATCTTTATGAGACTCTGAAGAGAAAAAATGAAACAGGATGGAGTTTTTAATGAAAAATCAAAGCGGGAGAATACGATGGGTCAAGCAAATAAGAATACTTGGGAGACCCTGAGATCCATAGAGACTTGCTTTATTTTTCACTGTCTTTCAGGAATCAAGTATATTACCAACTTAAAGGTCCATTTTAAGTCCAAATTTAGCTTTTCTTATTTTCTTTTTCTTCTCTTGAGTTATTGTACCATTGTTGATTTTGTCAGGTTTTAGCTTTGTTTTGAAGTAGAGTTCAAATTCCTTTACTATGTCTCTGACCACACTCGTTATGTGGTCACCCAGAAATGGTGCAGGGAAATTAGTTCTTTGAAGTTTAGGTACTATCACTGTCACCGTGACCAAGCACAATCAATCAAGTAACAAATATCTATTCCAGAGTCTCTTAAAGTAGATTAGATTGATCTTCATATTTTCTGAAGATTTTTTTTCTCTTTGCCTTTACTCTTGTCTCCATAAAAATTATTATAGATGCAATGCATAGTAAGATCTTCAGTTAAGTTCCAGGATTGGCACTCTGACTTTTCATTGCTTCGGTATTTAGCCTAGGGCAAGTAAATTCACTAATTGTTTCATTAGTTTCTATTTTACAAAAGTGAGATAATATTTGCCATCTACTTGGCTTTCATGAGAATACTAAAGATTAATAAGACTGTATTTCAAAGTCATTTTCAGAACCTCTGAAGCTCCTTACAAGTATAAAATCTTATTATAATGTGAAACATGTTTCTTCTTAATGCCAAGCCAACACTAGCTTCTGAAAGAATTTGGGACAGGGAAATATCTTCATTATGAAGACAGTTATTATTTGGAAGTCAAAGACATATGGACTGTCAAAGTCACTATACAACTGTAAATTAGCCAGCTTGCTAAATGAAAAGAGTTTATCACAATAAGCCAATACTTCATTAAGTTTGCCATCCTGCATCTTAAAGTAGCCTATAATTCAGATAAATGATAGCAGAAATCCCACATGCCTCTATAATCAACACATTAGAAAAAAAATATGGATTTCTGAAGCTATTACCTGATGAGATGATTATGAAATCTGATTTCCTTTGACATATGTAGATACTGTGATAATTATAGGATTAATTCTTTTGAACTTAATCTGCTATCTTAAGGTATACAGTCCAAAATATGTCTCTAACATAGACTTAATAGGTGACCAGGGCCAATTTAATTAATATCCATGCTTTGTTTTGGTAATTGAAAATTAACTTCTATTTGTCCTGTTACATTGATCCAATCAAGGAAAAGAAGTCAGGTGTGATATTATCAACTCTCTAAATAAATTCCTCTTTTTTTGTTAATTTTCATTTAGGTTAGTTTTTTTTTTTTTTTTTTTTTAGTTATTTTTATTTTTAAGCCAGTATTTTATTTGTTGTAAACTTTTTTTTTTTATTTTTTTTTTTGGTTTTTTTTTTTTTTTTTTTTTTTTCGGTACGTGGGCCTCTCTCTGTTGGGGTCTCTCCCGTTGTGGAGCACAGGCTCCGGACGCGCAGGCTCAGCGGCCGTGACTCACGGGCCCAGCTGCTCCACGGCATGTGGGATCTTCCCGGACCGGGACACGAACCCGTGTCCCCTGCATCGGCAGGCGGACTCTCAACCACTGTGCCACCAGGGAAGCCCTAGGTTAGGTTTTTTATTGATCAATATGACAAACAATTCCTGATTCTAAATTGAGAATAGGGCTTCCCTGGGGGCACAGTGGTTAAGAATCCACCTGCCAATCCAGGGAACATGGGCTTGAGCCCTGGTCTGGGAAGATTCCACATGCCGCCGGCCAGCTAAGCCTGTGTGCTACAGCTACTGAGCCTGTGCTCTAGAGCCCGCGAGCCACAACTATGAGCCCACGTGTCACAACTACTGAAGCCCGTGCACCTAGAGCCCGTGCTCCACAACAAGACAAGCCACCACAATGAGAAGCCCATGCACCGCAACAAAGAGTAGCCCCCACTCACCACAACTAGAGGAAGCCCATGTGCAGCAATGAAGACCCAATGCAGCCATAAATAAATAAATAAAATGAGAATAGCCCATTTATATTTACAGTTCTTAATACCATTTAACTTTTGCTGGGTACAACTAGTATGTTAAGTCTTTCGATTTTTTTAAAAAATCATTGTTATATAATCAAAAGGTACAGTGATAATAGTTCTATTGGTTATACGCTTTGTGTCAATGTTTATCCTATGAATGATCTCCTTTATTATAGTATCTTTAAAGTAAGAAAAAAGTGTTTTTTTTTAACCCTATTATTTGTCATTTAAATATTGGTAATTTTGTTAAACCTTAATACCAGTGAGAAGAGCCTTTTTGGGTTTTATGTCAGATTATTTACAAGCCAGATAAAATTATTTTCTGTTATTATGTGTGTGTACATGTATATATATATGAAGCTATAAGATTGTTTGAATTAATTTGTAGAGTTTGATATGCTTATTTGTTCCTTGAGTCATGACATAACTAAGAAGAATTGAGTGCTTTGCCTTACAGAACTTAAAGAACATGTATATTGTTATCTTTCTACCTAGAATAGAATAATAGGCAAATTAAAATTGATTACTGACTGTCGTGTATTTGTAGGTAACAGTGTCAAGAGCTGAGGTTGATAAATGACCTAAGTTATGAGTTTGGTTGATATACGAATAGTATTCTTCTCATGAGACTCATATACTTAATAGGACATTCAATCACTCAACATTTTATAGCTGTGTATTTATTTCAAATTGTCTGAGAACTTTTATTAACAGTATTGAGGTGATTTTATTTTATTCAAATGAAGTCTTTGCAGACATTTAAGAAGTATAAAACTCATTTTCATTAGTCTAAATTAAAGAGGGAAGTAGTATATTTGCAATCAGTATACCATATGCCATTAAATGTTGTGTAACCAATAAAAACACATTTGAATCATTTAATGAAGGAATTATTAAATGAGGTCTGTCACATTTTAAGCAATCTACTCTTATGCACCAAGTTTTTTTTTTTAACATCTTTATTGGAGTATAATTGCTTTACAATGGTGTGTTAGTTTCTGCTTTATAACAAAGTGAATCAGTTATACATATACATATATCCCCATATCCCCTCCCTCTTGCGTCTCCCTCCCACCCTTCCTATCCCACCCCTCTAGGTGGTCACAAAGCACTGAGCTGATCTCCCTGTGCTATGCGGCTGCTTCCCACTAGCTAGCTATTTTACATTTGGTAGTGTATATATGTAAATGCCACTCTCTCACTTTGTCTCAGCTTACCCTTCCCCCTCCCCGTGTCCTCAAGTCCATTCTCTAGTAGGTCTGCATCTTTATTCCCATCTTACCCCTAGGTTCTTCATAATCATTTTTTTTTTTTTTAAGATTCCATATATATGTGTTAGCATACGGTATTTGTTTTTCCCTTTCTGACTTACTTCACTCTGTATGACAGACTCTAGGTCCATCCACCTCACTACAAATAACTCGATTTCATTTCTTTTTATGGCTAAGTAATATCCCATTGTATATATGTGCCACATCTTCTTCATTCATCTGTCGATGCACACTTAGCTTGCTTCCATGTCCTGGCTATTGTAAATAGAGCTGCAGTGCACATTGTATGCACCAAGTTTTAATTCACGGACATGTAAATGACTTTTTGATTGATCTAGCTCAGGTAAAGTAAAATTGTTAAGTGGAAAAGAATTAAACATTACCTCTCATAGTGATCTGTTTTTGGACATTTAGAGGAGAAAAATACTCAGCAAATTTAAAAAGAAAATGAAGAAAACTTTGAGAGTGTGGAAAATTGGGCACTCTCCTACATCGTGGTGGAAGTATAAGTTGATATCAGTGGTTGTCAAGGGCAGGCTGGCAGAATGTTTCAAATATACATGCCATTTAACCCTAAAATTCTCCTTCTGGGATTACCCTAAAAAAGAATTAATAGTATGTCCAAAGTTTTAAGCATCAAGTATATTCATCCAAGAATACTAATAATGAAGTTTTTAATGTCCTAAATGAAAGAAAAATGGGGTTTAGTTAACTCTGATGTAAAAACTGAAGTGTCCTATGAAAAATTTTAAAATGGTATATATTGCTTAAACCTGATATCAAGATAGGATTCATTTGACCAATCATTTAACCAATCATTTAACAAATATGCACAAATATGCACACATTAGCAGTGTTCCAGGGACTTGTGATAGAGCAGTGAACAAAATATAAATGTTGTTTCATAGAGCAAAGTTTTAGGATGGAGACATTTAATAAATGAATGAAGAAATAGACCGAATAGATTGATAGATGAGGCAAGGAA